CCTAAAGTTAAGGGAACATGAATGTTGGCTTCCAAGTCCGCAAGGAGGTAAGAAGTTGCCTCTGCCCTTGGCTAGCGTCAGTCAGCAGTGATCTAGCGTCAGGCTAGCGTCAGTCAACAGTGATCTAAAGTTAGGTCACGACTGACGCTAGTCAATATTGACATGGCTTCCAACTGGGCTTCAAAGTCCGCTAGTCAATTATACCATATTGACTAGCGTCAGTCGTGACCTAAAGTTAAGGGAACATGAATGTTGGCTTCCAAGTCCGCAGGGAGGTAAAAAGTTGCCTCTGCCAATGCCAGTGGAGCCTTCGACTGAGAGGATTCTGATTTTTCAACAGTCGAAGCTCCGGTAGAGGCAACTGACACCTCTACTGGCTGTTCCCTTTTGCCCCCCTATAGTCAGGGCAGTAGGGGACAATGTGGTCGGGGTCCCCACATTTGAGGCATCGATCCGCCTTCTTTCTTTCGGCCCAAACTTTCTCTGTGATTCCCAATTCTTTCCAAGGCTCTCCTTCCGGTAAGCCTGGATGAGGTGGGTATGGCTTATCCCACTTGTTGTACCATAAGCCTCTTCCTCTACCCCAGCTGGAGTAAGAACCACGACCACCGTATGAGGGACCATTTCCCCTTTCTCCCACGTAGTGGCTTCCTTCACCACCACCCCTCTGGGTGCCGAATCCTCGTCCACCACGGTCGCGACCTCTTCCTCGGCCACGTCCTCTTCCTTGACGCCCTCCCCCGCGGGCTGCAACAGCCGCGTAACTCCCCTCCTGAGCTACCGGTTTGTTGGGTTCTACCTGATCCCAGGAGATGGTCTCGGCGCCTCCTTCTTCAAAGGTTAGAAGGAGACTGTCTTTCCCAGGTATAGACCCTGAGATAGTGCGGTTTTGCCATCTTTTTCCCGCTTGCAGATCCTTCCAATAATGGTAATAGTTTGCTTCCGCGAGGAAGCCGGCATGATCTATGGCGATCTTGCTGAACTTCTCATATGTCAGCCCCTCTTCCTTGGTACGGGGATAGAGTTGTGTTCTTAGGGGATCCGGAGTGCTCGTGCAAAACTGTTCAGAATTTGGGCTGGCGTCAACCCGTGATCAGGGCATTGCAATAGTTCATCCATAGTTGCCTTCAGTGCAGAGGTACTCTTCCATTTCCTATCAGGAAGGCTGAGGATCAACATTTCTATACGCCTGGCCAAGTTCTTGTTTTCAAATCTTTCTCTTATTAACTTGAGGAAATCTTCGACTCGCGTTTGTTGCGAATACTCTACCATAGAGCTGCATCCCGCTTCCTTTTGCAGCGAGATGGCGAAGCTCATGGCGTCGCCTCCCATGCACGAAGTTGCCATCAACACCCTGTCCCAATAAGGAATGCGCTGCCCGTACACGTACGTTTCAATCGCCGCCGCCCAGTGCAACACACTCTCTTCTTTCTTTCCATTGTAGGTCCATGGCAGTTTGAGCTTAATCTTGTTAGTCTGCCCGGGTTCCTGGGAAGGTTGACCCTTTAAATCCTCAATCTTCTTCTTTCCTTTCTCGTCATCATCGCCGTCGCCACCTCCATCTCCTCCGTCGCCTCCAGCTCCCTTTACAATCTTCTCTACGACCTCCGGTGTGAAGACTTTATTAATATGTTCGTCCAAAACCAGGATGTAAGTTTGCACATGTTGGTCAACGTCCTTTGCTGACTTTTCTACGAAGTTATTCCAGACATTCTCAAATTCAACCCGATGCGTTTCTACACGTTGCAAGGTCTGCCGCATTAAGTCCACGTCTTGCCTCGTGTTGAGGACGGTCTACCTGAGGAGTGCAAACTGTGCTTTAGTTGCAGAGGGGTTTTCCTTTTGCGCTTCTAGAGCTTTCTGCAATTTATCCCCTTCTGCCTGCAATCTTTTCTTTTCTTCCACCTCTTGCCGTCTAGCGGCCAACAACTTGCGATTTAGCTCAGCCCGTTTTTCCTCCAACATCAGGTTTCGTTCAACGGTGTCTTTAATAGTGGCCAACTTGGCGATGAACGTATCCCGTTCTTCATCAGATTCTTTTAACGGCTCGCTAGAGTAGTAGTACCGGCTGCCCCAGTCCAGCGGTTCAACGGGAAGGCGGGTTGTTGTGCTGCTTTCAGGTATGTCTTGGCGACGATGTCTTTCCAAAACTTCTCCTTCTTCCTGTTCTTCTTCTTCTTCTTCTTCTATACTCTTCAATTCTTCTTCTAACTCCCTGTCCATTTTCTCTTTCATTTTCTTTCTTGTTTCTTCTTCTTTCTGGTTTTTCTTTGCTTCCTTTTCTTTTTTCTTTTCTGCTAGCCTGCGGTCAATTTCGGCTTGCTCCGTAGGCGTGGGGCCAGACTTCATTGTCCCTGACCGCATCAACATGCGGGACGTGCACACACGTCCGAACCCCAGTGGGAACATCAGCCTGAACAAGGGCCCCAATAATACAGAAAGGGCCAACAGGCCTTGGATGGGATAGTCATCCATGATGACTGCCGGCATAGGAGATCCTCCGCCGGGTCACCAAGGTACTATCCCACTTACAGACTTGGTCTTGACTTGCGGTAATGGAGTACTTATACCTTTCCTTTCCCCCCCTTTTATTTTTTGTTTAACGGTAGAAGGTGCTGCGTACAATCAACAATAGATCAAACTGCAATGAACTTGAATATGTCTATTTTGTTTTCTTTTGATGTGTTGTCTGGCCTCCTGGATCGAACTTTTGGTAATGTGTTTCTGTTGTCTTGCTTTCTCTTTTTTTTTTTTTTTTGGTACTAACTTGGCTGGTTGCTTGGTGCAGGTATGGAGTATATCGCAGAGGAGTCAGATGCAATGGGTTCACTTACCCACCCAGGCAGAGATACTTCGTATACCCTTTTCTTTCTTTCGGGCTTTAACAGACCCCTGAGATACTCAATATCATCCTTATACTACCTGGTACATGCTATCTAACGTGGCACATTGCCACTTCCCACATCGATTCTTGGTTCTTGATGACGATATCCAACCTGCCTATCAAGAGGGATAGGAGAGAAACCTACTCCTATGCGCAGAACACTGGGCCACCTACTCTAGTGTGACCAGTTCCTGACACATCACATTTGGGTCATCAGACTCTGACGGCTCAGACCTGACAGCTAGGACAACCTAGATCCAGACTTCGACTCCTGACCAGATCAGCAGCAGTCACCTTCAAAGGGTCAGAGAGAGAGAAGGTAGGGGACACACACATGCATGCAGGTTCAGGGAAAGGAGGTGCTTCTCTCTTCTTGAAGATACCGCCGATGATGCTCCACGACGCTCCGCACGCTCCAGGAAAGTAGACTTCGCCACTTCTTCTTCGGCCTGCTTCCCCCACTATCACACACTTCTTCTCCTCCTCCCTCCTTCACTATCCTCCATCACCACTTCTTCTGGCCGGCCTTGATCAGGCCAGCGCTATGAGTGTAGCGAGCATCTGCTCCGATACCAAATTTTTGCATGGGTCCTGGGGACCATCTCACGCAGATGTGTACATGTCATGCATCATCTTCACACGCAGTGATCAATAGTCTCAACCATAGAAAAAGGTAGAGAAGAAGAGGACCGAGTCTCACAGCTTATATTATCAGAAATATGATTACAAAGTGTTTCAAGGTTCCCCTGAGTCCAGCACTCATCAGCGCAACACAAATCTCTGCTCAACTCATCAATATGCCTTCCAAGGCATCAGCGCTACCCTTGCAGATTGTCTCCTAGTCATCAATATG